ATCAGTATAAAAGACACCTGTCCACAACCTCAAACAGTCACACTCCAAACTCCACTATGGCCAAGACCAAAGAGCTGTCAAAGGACACCAGAAACAAAATTGTAGACCTGCACCAGGCTGGGAAGACTGAATCTGCAATAGGTAAGCAGCTTGGTTTGAAGAAATCAACTGTGGGAGCAATTATTAGGAAATGGAAGACATACAAGACCACTGATAATCTCCCTCGATCTGGGGCTCCATGCAAGATCTCACCCCGTGGGGTCAAAATGATCACAAGAACGGTGAGCAAAAATCCCAGAACCACACGGGGGGACCTAGTGAATGACCTGCAGAGAGCTGGGACCAAAGTAACAAAGCCTACCATCAGTAACACACTACGCCGCAAGGGACACAAATCCTGCAGTGCCAGACGTGTCCCCCTGCTTAAGCCAGCATGTCCAGGCCCGTCTGAAGTTTGCTAGAGTGCATTTGGATGATCCAGAAAAGGATTGGGAGAATGTCATATGGTCAGATGAAACCAAAATAGAACTTTTTGGTAAAAACTCAACTCGTCGTGTTTGGAGGACAAAGAATGCTGAGTTGCATCCAAAGAACACCATACCTACTGTGAAGCATGGGGGTGGAAACATCATGCTTTGGGGCTGTTTTTCTGCAAAGGGACCAGGACGACTGATCCGTGTAAAGGAAAGAATGAATGGGGCCATGTATCATGAGATTTTGAGTGAAAACCTCCTTCCATCAGCAAGGGCATTGAACATGAAACGTGGCTTGTTCTTTCAGCATGACAATGATCCCAAACACACCGCCCGGGCAACGAAGGAGTGGCTTCGTAAGAAACATTTCAAGGTCCTGGAGTGGCCTAGCCAGTCTCCAGATCTCAACCCCATAGAAAATCTTTGGAGGGAGTTGAAAGTCCGTGTTGCCCAGCGACAGCCCCAAAACATCACTGCTCTAGAGGAGATCTGCATGGGGGAATGGGCCAAAATACCAGCAACAGTGTGTGAAAACCTTGTGAAGACTTACAGAAAACGTTTGACCTGTGTCATTTCCAACAAAGGGTATACAACAAAGTATTGAGAAACTTTTGTTATTGACCAAATACTTATTTTCCACCATAATTTTCTAATAAATTCATTAAAAATCCTACAATGTGATTTTCTGGAATTTTTTTTCTCATTTTGTCTGTCATAGTTGACGTGTACCTATGATGAAAATTACAGGCCTCTCTCATCTTTTTAAGTGGGAGAACTTACACAATTGGTGGCTGACTAAATACTTTTTTTCCCCACTGTATAGGCCTAGATATAGTATAGTTTGTTTTTAGCCTTCAGCCTTTTTATATAACCATATGCACGAATTTATATAAAATATTCTGCCCATTTTAACTTATTTTAAGCCATAACTGAACCAATTTCTGTATATATACACACAATATTCTACACATAGGTGCTAATGTATATACAATATTTATAGCCATATATGAGTAAACATACACATTGTTTCACATTCTTTAATAACAGACTCATAAACACAATCACGCAATAGGCTACAGATCGCTTCACCGGGTAACTCAGCGTATTGTAGCCTCACGCAGACTAAAGAGTAGCGGAGGAAGGAGTTCGCTTCTGCTGCAGTGTTCCCGGCTAAACATTATGTGCTGCATTGGCGCTTCACTGTTTCAGCGGGGACTCAAATTATTTTCACCAACATTTCTGGAACCCCATTTTTTTCACCTGAAATTATGTAGACCCCACCCCAAATCTAATGAAATAACCTTAAAAAGGGGTTAGATTTTCACATCAACAAATTAGCTTCAAATTCATTACATTTTCATCTCTCCTATCAAAATAAAGAGAACCAATATATACAGTGCCTTCAGAGTATTCACACCCCTTTACTTATTCCACATTGTGTTACACCATGAATTTAAAATGGATGAAATAGAGATTTGTCACCGATCTACACACAATACCCAATAATGTCAAAGTGGAATTTATTTATTTGACATTTTTACAAATTAATTAAAGCTGCAATATGTAACTTTTTGGGCGACCTGACCAAATTCACATAGAAATGTGAGTTATAGATATGTCGTTCTAATTGAACGCAAGTCTAAGAAGCGGTACATCTGTTCTATGTGCATTATTTCTATGCTTCCCGTTCTTTCTGTTTCATTTTTGCATCTTTTACTTTCAGTTTTGAAAATACAATATTTTTGATTATGGAAAATATATTTCACAGCCGTTTAGATGGTACAATGATTCTCTACACTATACTTGCTTGTTTTGTCACATAAACTGAAATTAGGCAAACTATTAGAATTTTAGCAAACGGGAAATGGTGTAATGATTTCTGCATAGTACATCTTTAAAAATGAAAAGCTTAAATGTATTCAACCCCTTTGTTATGGCAAGCTTAAATAAGTTAAGTTGTAAACATGTGCTTAACAAGTCACATAAGTTGCATGGACTCACTCTTTGTGCAATAATAGTGTTCAACATGATTTTTGAATGACTACCTCCTCTCTGTAGCCCACACACACAATTATCTGTAAGGTCCCTCAGCGGAGCAGTGAATTTCAAACACAGCTTCAACAACAAAGACCTGGGAGGTTTTCCAATGCCTCGCAAAGAAGGACACCTATTTGCAGATGGGTAAAAAAGCAGACATTGAATATCCCTTTGAGCATAGTGCAGTTATGAGTTTTACACTTTGGATGGTGTATCAATACACCCAGTCACTACAAAGATACAGGCGTCTTTCCTAAATCAGTTGCCAGAGAGGAAGGAAACTGCTCAGAGATTTCACCATGAGGCCAATGGAAATGTTTAAACAGTTACAGAGTTTAATGGCTGTGATAGGAGAATACTGAGAATGGATTAACAACATTGTAGTTACTCCACAAATATTCCAAATAATGCATCCTGTTTGCAATAAGGCAATAATTGTCAAAAATTAACTTTTTGTCCTGAATACAAAGCGTTATGTTTGGGGCAAATCCAATAACACTGAGTACCACTTCATATTTTCAAGCATGGTGATGGCTGCATCATGTTATGGGTATGCTTGTCATCAGCAAGAACTAGGGAGTTTTTTAGGATAAAAAGAAACAATAGAGCTAAGCACAAGCAAAATCCTAGAGGAAAACTTTGTTCAGTCTGCTTTCCAACAGACACTGGGAGACAAATACACCTTTCAGCAGGACAATTACCTAAAACACAAGGCCAAACATACACTTGAGTTGCTTACCAAGACGACATTAAATGTTCCTGAATGGCCTATTTACAGTTTTGACTTAAATCTACTTGAACATCTATGGCAAGACTTGAAAATGGCTGTCTAGCAATGATCAACAACCAACTTGACAGCACTTGAAAACAATTAAAAAGAATAAATGGGCAAATATTGTATAATCCAGGTATGGAAAGCTCTTAGACTTACCCAAAAACACTCACAGCTGTAATCGCTGCCAAAGGTGACTATAACATGTACTGACTCAGGAGGTTGAATAATTATCTAATCAAGATACAGTATATTAGTGTTTTATTTTTCATTAATAAAAATAAAAAATATTTGAATTTTTCTTCCAATTTGACATTACAGAGTATTGTGTGTGGATCATTGACAAAAAATGACAATTCAATCCATTTTAATCCCACTTTGTAACACAACAAAATGTGTAAAAAGTCAAGGGGTGTGAATACTTTCTGAAGGCTCTGTACATTTACTCAATACATATATATTTTTGTAATTATCTTTCTCAATAACGTTTGTATATTGTCCTATGAAATAATACGTACTCTTAATTTTTGGTTCACTCCCCTGAATTTTTTTTTAAATTTTGGAACCCCACTGCAATTCCATTTGAATATCACTGCTGTAATGGAACCATTTGCCAGCTGGCCCTTCTCTATCCACCTCCTCACTGTCCTACTCTGACGCTACAGCTACAGGAAGACTGATTTGCAGGAAAATCATGGGGGAATCTTGAAAACATTTAATTGAAAACATTGTGTGTGTGTGTGTGTCTGTGTGGGTTTTTGGTTTTACTATCCTTGTGGGGACCAGGCTCAGGGGTTAAGTTTAGGGTTACAATTAGGGTTAGGGGTTAGGAGTTCGGGTTGGATTTAGGGGTACCGGTTCATGAAAATATGATTTTTAATGGGAATCAATTGTTTGATCCATACAAGGATAGTAAAACAAACATGTGTGTGTGTGGGTGTGTGTGTGGGGGGGCTTGTATACTATCCTCGTGGGTACAGTCCCCACAAGGATAGTATAACAAGGAAAATTCTCCCTCATGGGGACATTTCCCAGGTCGCTACAACGACAAAGGCTATTTTTGGCTTAGGGTTAGGTGTTAGGTTTAGGAGGTAGGGTTAAGGTTAAGGGTTAAGGTTAGGGTTAAAGTTAGGGAAAATATAATTTTGAATGGAAATCAATTTTAGGACCCCACAATGACAGTAAAACATATGCTGTGTGTGTGTGTGTGTGAGAGAGAGGTTTGGGGCGATGTGTGTAGTTTACTCACTGGGCCTCAGCACATGGAGGGAGCAGTGACGGTCCAGCCACTGCAGTGTGGTCTCACACAGCTCCCCTTTGCTTGTGGTGGAGACAGTCCCATTGAAGGACTCAAACAGGGGTTTAATGATGATGCTGAACTAAGGATGATGGGTCAAGGGTCAAACACACACTATTGAGGGAACAGATCCAAAGTTGCATCCTATTTATATCTCAGGAGACATATGAACGAACCTCTGACAGAAAGGACCTCAGATGTACTCAGATGGCTCATGGTATACAGTCCTATATTATACTACTTCATTTTCTACAGTCGTAACCTTTCACAAGTCCCCCTGAAACCTTAGGTTGGTAGGCTTTTCCAACAGTCAAAAATTATAGCTCTTCTTTGCTTATATACAGCATCTAATCTAGCCATCTGATCTAAATGAAAATGTACCAGCATAATATTAAAAGTAGCCTGATTGAATCTTATATCATTATGACAAAGTCATGTTAAATGTCAGTGATAAGGGTAAAAAAAAGGATACGATCCAAAACTTCCAGTTCTGAAGTGTGCGGCTCTTCACGTACTCATCAAACTTCTCCCGCATGTGGTCGAAGCGGTGGCGTGTGATGGGCACTCCCGTAGCAGGCAGCTGCTCCTGACAAACACTGTGGCACAGCAATAACACACAGATCAGATTACTATGTCATGTAAACACACACATAGTATCATCACATAAGGCTGTGTACCAGTATACAGTTTACTGAACTCGTCTACTCAGAGGAGAGAGATAACAGATAACAGTGAGGAAGTACATACTTTATGGAGGCATTGACCTCCTCAATCTCCTCCCGTAGCCTTTTAGTCTCCTCCTGCATCTGCTGCCTCTCCTGCTGCAGCTTCCCAATGTACTCCACTGTCTTCTGCAGCGTGGCCGCATTACTGATCTGGTATCAAACACAACAAGAATAGGTGCCGATATTGGAAAGGTCATGTAGAAATGACACGTCGTAAACTGCTGGAGCATTCAACAATGTGTGGATATGTATCATTCTTTCATGACTTTACCATTACCCATTTCAGACTGATGATGTGGTATATTACCTGTAAAAGAACATTAAACCATGGGTGCTGTTTGCATTTCACATTAGAGAGGTGTTAAACAATGGAAGTGTTAATGAATTTACCTGCAAAAAAAGCATAGAACCATTTACACAGCCCACGATAACTATATTTGGTTACAGTGCTTTTAATTTACCATGTTTTTTTTACCCCCTACCCCTTTCATATATACGAAAAATCTGGTATAAAAAAGCAGGCATGGTAAATTTGTGGGATTTTGGTATGTGTATGAAATGGATACTATATTTGTACCTGAACATAACTGGATGTGCATACACTATGCTTCTGAACTGATCTTTAAATAAAAGCCACCAAAAGCTATTAGTATGAGGACTCAGTAGACAGATGACAGACAGACATGGCTTTACATTGGACTGGGACTTGAGAGTGGGAACCAGGCTGCACAGCGTTTTGAAGCCGATGTTGATGTTAAAGCGCCTCTTCTGTTCAGCAGTGATATGGGTCACCCTACGGCTCTGGAACAGACAGGGAGAGAACAGACACACACATAATTAGAATGATCAGAGTCTGCAATGCTTCAACGGCAGGCACACAACACTGGACCAGCTTGAAAAAGCTGTAGTTATACACAGACACAGTCACAGTCACAGACAGAGAGAGAGTAGTAGGCAGGAGGGTGGGCTGCTGTTACCTGGTTGGACTCATTCTTGGAAAGGGCTGTGCTGCTGCTGAGGGGAAACTGAGGACTGGAGACCTGCTCTGACCCACACGGTGACCCCTGACCTGAGCCACGCCCCTCATGCCCTGGGTGACACAGATGATCCACACTTACCAAAAACCATCATAACAAAGACTGCTACACCCTGCTACACCAGTGAGCACCAACTCACATTAAAGACAATTCAATAATTTTATGGAAAGCAGAACAGTACTGTAAACATTCCAAAACAATGTGTATGAATGTGTTACCATGCCACATCCTGTATGCACACATAGAGCTAATAGATTGATAGCTTAGGTTTGACAGGAGGAAAACACCCTCTGACACTTGACTGAGCTTAGTGTACATGCATATAACAAAAAAAGTAAGGGCCTGGCGTATGTCACTCTCACCAGTACTTGTGGAGGGTTTTTGTTTCTTGCGGCTGGAAGAGTAGGTCTCCTCTTTAGGGATAATGAGCTGGGGAGACTTCGGAAGGATATGAATTCCAGGAGCCTGAGATAGAGGGATGGAAAGAAATAAAACACAAATTAAATGAAAACGATCTTAAATAAAACAGTTGAAAGCAAAGGGGGTGCTTCAGAGCACACCGGGTCTTACCCTTGATAGGCTGGAGGAGCCGATGACCACGCCAGTTGAGGGAACCACGTCTGCTTTCAGGGGGGTTGGAGTAACAATCACTGCACTGGTATGCCCTGGGAAGGGTGCTGAGACAGCAAAACATCATCAGTCAGGGCCTTTGACATTAAAACCACAGGGTAAATGCTGATTCTTTCATGTATTTAATGTCGAATATTGAGCTTGGATGTCACTGATGATCTTTGCTAGGATCATTTAGGCTGATTCGCCTGCAAACATTGACTAGTTTTCATTTAGTTTTTCATTACAATAGTAACTGACTATATAATGATAGACGGTAGCACCACCTTGTGGTGAGATCACACTGTGGAGCAGTAATCCCCACACCTCAATAAATACTATTGTTTCTAATGTGGTAGTTTTTTTCTGGGTAGCACCGGCTAGGCATGTATTAATTCAATATTACATTTGATATTAAATCAATACACCATTCATATTCAGCTACAGTTAAACCTTTTGGGATGTGATTAACTCACCTGTTAGGATGAGGTGAGATGAGATGGCAGGAACAATCCTTTGCACACGGCGTGTCTTTTTGTTGGAGCAAGAGGGCTGGATGGGTCTGGGCAGGGTGAAGGTCTGTGGGTGTTGGGGGGTGGCGGCAGGTGAGGGTGCCAGAGGCTGGAGGGGTGGTGGTGGAGGTACCCGGGTTAGGGAGCTGAAGTTAGACCTGTGACTGAAGGTGGTGGCAGCATCACTGGGTATAACAGTGGAGGAGGCTGTTTGTGTGATGATAGATAAGGGTGTGGAACCGTCCAGGCTTGTGGCATCATCCAGGGGTGGGGGGGCTACTGGTGTTGCCGTGGCAGCACCCTGGCAGGGCTGGGTGTGCCGCACCGTGGGAAGGGCTGAGGGTTGCATGAAGGAGGAGCCTCCAGCCTGAGTACTAGGGGGCACCGGCCCAGAGAACAGAGGCATGTAGTTCTGTACGTAAGAGGGGCTTCCACTGGTCCCACTGGTTTGATTTGACATGGGGGAGGAGATAGTCAGGGGGGCTGGGGAGGCGATGAGTCTGTGGTCAGGACTGACGGACGGGAGGTCAGCTGAGAGGTGCATGGAGGAGAGTAGCTGGCCCTATCAAGTCACAAGGACAAGAGCAAAGATAGCACATTTATAATGTTATCAGCTAGTAAGATGTTGTGAAAACATCTAAGAATAAAAGGCAGGAGTGTGTTAGGTCTGTGGGTGTGTTAGGGTTGAGGTTCACAGGGACCGGGCCTACGGTTGGGGTTTACCTGGGATTGAGAGCTGCTGCTGGGTAGAGGAGTGGCGGATGAGGTAGTGAGGGAAGCAGAGGGGAAGATGGGCTGACGGAGGCTGTGAAATAAGTCTGGAAGAAGAGTCTCTAGGTTAGTTAGAATTAGTATAACATCCACTCTACCCTCATAAGTGTTAGGATATGTCACCTGCTGTATTACACTTCCCATATGAGAGTAACATGGTGCTCCAGGGTGCTGTTAAAGAGTTTGTGCACTGTGCAAGTGACATTATTTTAGAGTTTGTCGCTGTGGCAGAGTGCATTGTCATTACCTTGTAATTGCTCATAGGAGTCCATAAAGTCCAGGTTGGGCTGTAGGGGGATGAGTCCAGGCTGGATCATGTCTGCGTTCCCTGCATGAGCTATGGGGAACATGGATGGGGTGTGAAAAACAAACAGACTTTTCCTATAGATCTGATTGGGGAAAGGCTTGGGTGGATCTGAGTGAATAGAAACAGGCTTGGTGTACGGCAGGGCTATTCAACTGGCGGCCCGCGGGCCAGATCTGGCCCCTGTATCAATTTAGAATGGCCCTTTGATCAATTCTGAACATTAATAAAAAGAACAGCTAAAAAATCCCCGCAAAATCCAATGTTTAGTGCCAAAAGGAGCCCTCGTTCAATATTCTCCAATGGGAGAATATGTTTTCCTGTAGTCCCACCCATTAAGTGCCGTCAATCAATATCACCCAACATACGAGTTACAGCCAATCAGAGCTGCTAACAGGGGTACAGGGTCTGTCTGCCCGCCTATTGGCGCTTTCACTGCAGATGAGATCACTACACTGCCTGATACAGCAGCGCGCGATTTGAGTTAAAAAACATCACGGACTCAGTTATGGCTATCATAAACTTTATCCGATCAACATCTAGCCTGCAACATCGCTTGTTTCGTAGTCTGCTGAGCATCATGATCTACTTTTACATAAAGATGTTCGGTGACTAAGCAAGGGTAATAATGGCTGAGCAGCCTATGTGAGCTTAGGGAGGAGAGTTGCTTTTCTCAGCGATTGCCGCCACAAGAAAGCCAACACATACAGTGCCTTCAGAAAGTATTCACACCCCTTGACTTTTTCCACATTTTGTTGTGTTACAGACTACATTTTAAATGGATAACATTTTGATTTTGTGTCAATGATTTACACACAATACCCCATAATGTCAAAGTTGAATTATGTTTTTAGAAATGTTTACAAATTAATAAAATTCCATCATTTTGTCATGACAAGCCTAAATAGGTTCAGGAGTAAAAATGTGCTTAGCCACCCTGTAGGCCAGCAGCATACCACCCTGCATCCCACTGCTGCCTTGCCACTGAAGATAAGCAGGGTTGGTTCTGGTCGGTCCCTGGATGGGAGACCAGATGCTGCTGGAAGTGGTATTGGAGGGCCAGTAGGAGGCACTCTCCTCTGGTTAAAAAAAATATCCCAGGGCAGCAATTGGGGACATTGCCCTGTTTAGGGTGCCATCTCTCGGTTGGGATGTTAAACAGCTGTCCTGAATCTCTGTGGTAACTAAAGATCCCATGGCACTTATCGTAAGAGTAGGGGTGTTAACCCCGGTGTCTTGGCTAAATTCCCAATCTGACCACCTAATCATCCCCAGCTTCCAATTGGCTCATTCATCTCCTCTCCCCTGTAACTATTCCCCAGGTCGTTGCTTTAAATGAGAATGTGTTCTCAGTCAACTTCCCTGGTAATTTTTTTTTTTTTTTATATATATATATATATATATATATAACAATAAATTGCATGGACTCTGTGTGCAATAATTGTGTTTAACATGATTTTTAAATGACTACCCCACACACAATTATCTGTAAGGTCCCTCATTCAAGCAGTGAATTTCAAATACAGATTCAACAACAAAGACCAGGGAGGTTTTCCAATGCCTCGCAAAGAAGGACACCTATTGGTAGATGGGTAAAAAAAACAGACATTGAATATCCCTTTGAGCATAGTGCAGTTATTAATTTAACACTTTGGATGGTGTATCAATACACCCAGTCACTACAAAGATTAAAACAGTTACAGAGTTTAATGGCTGTAATAGGAGATTACTGAGGATGGATCAACAACATTGTAGTTATTCCACAATACTATCATAAATGACAGAGTGAAAAGAAGGATGCCTGTACAGAATACAAATATTCCAAAACATGCATCCTGTTTGCAATAAGGCACTAAAGTAATACTGCAAAAAAATGTGGCAAAGAAATTACATCTTTGTCCTGAATACAAGTGTTATGTTTGGGGCAAATCCAACACAGCACATCACTGAGTACCACTCTTCATATTTTCAAGAATGGTGGTGGCTGCATCATGTTATGGGTATGCTTGTCATCGGCAAGGACTAGGGAGTTAGTGACATCTTCAAATCAATTAAATTGACTTAATTTGGGACTACAGGGGAGGCATAAAACAGTTATTGACATGATTGAAAAACGGACTTCTTTTCTAAATAAATGTGTTATTTCCCCACTGTAAATATCATTCATATCAAATCTGGCCCCTGTAAGAATATAGTTGATAAGCCCTGGTGTATGGAATGGGATGTTGGTGGCAGGCCCTCACCTATTTCCCTGGGATTGGGCCAGGCCATGGGCTGGTGGGAGGCCAGCGTGGAGAAGAGTGTGTCAGAAAACTCTGACATCAGCACGTCCATGTCAAAGAGTGGGTCCATCTCCATGGGGACGGGTGACTCACAGCTCTTGCGAGCAACGCGGCGCCCAGCCATTTCCTCATCCTGACAAAGGGACACACAGAAGGTGTCTGGAAAGACCTCCCCAAACAGCGAAAACTGCTCTTCTGGCCCCTTGGGGTATTCAAAATGCAACAAGCCAGCCAGTCACACAAAAAAAACATGCAGTGCACACACTATACAGCATATCAGTCATATAACTAATCTATTTAACAGAGTAAGATAAAACAATTATGAAACATGCACATTGCATACTCAAATTGATTCCAAGCAGTCTCTCTGATAAGACATATGCCTCATAACAATCCAAATAATTATGCAACAAGCGGTGTTTTTTTTTTTTTTTGGGCGGTGTTTGTTTGCACAATTGAAGTAGGCCTATTACACTCCCCTACGTATTTATTTGGACAGTGAAGATTTGACTCTATACTCCAGCATTTTGGATTTGAGATCACATTTTTCATATGAAGTGACAGTAAAGAATGGCACCTTTTATTTGAGGGCATTTTCTTATATATTCTGTTTTACCATTTAGAAATGAAAGTACTATGTATCTAGTGCCCGCATTTGAACGCGTCATAAGTATTTGGAGAAATTCACTTATGTGTTTTAAAGTAGTCAAAAGCAAACTATAGTTTTGGCAAGTTGGTTAGGACATCTACTTTGTGCATGACACAAGTAATTTCTCCAACAATTGTTTACAGACATATTATTTCCCTTATAATTCACTGTATCACAATTCCAGTGGGTCAGAAGTTTACATACACTAAGTTGACTGTGCCTTTAAACAGCTTGGAAAATTCCAGAAAATGATGTAATGTCTTTAGAAGCTTCTGATAGGCTAATTGACATCATTTGAGTCAATTGGAGGTGTACCTGTGGATGTATTTCAAGGCCTACCTTCAAACTCAGTGCCTCTTTGCTTAACATCATGGGAAAATCAAAAGAAAATCAGCCAAAACCTCAGAATTTTTTTTGTAAACCTCCACAAGTCTGGTTCATCCTTGGGAGCAATTTCCAAATGCCTGAAGGTACCACGTTCATCTGTACAAACAATAGTACGCAAGTATAAACACCATGGGACCACGCAGCCGTCATACCGCTCAGGAAGGAGACGCGTTCTGTCTCCTAGAGATGAAGGTACTTTGGTGCGAAAAGTGCAAATCAATCCCAGAACAACAGTAAAGGACCTTGTGAAGATGCTGAAGGAAACAGGTACAAAAGTATCTATATCCACAGTAAAACGAGTCCTATATCGACATAACCTGAAAGGCCGCTCAGCAAGGAAGAAGCCACTGCTCCAAAACCGCCATAAAAAAGCCAGAATACGGTTTGCAACTGTACATGGGGACAAAGATCGTACTTTTTGGAGAAATGTCCTCTGGTCTGATGAAACAAAAATAGAACTGTTTGGCCATAATGACCATCATTATGTTTGGAGAAAAAAGGGGGATGCTTGCAAGCAAAAGAACACCATCCCAACCGTGAAGCACGGGGTGGCAGCATCATGCTGTGGGGGTGCTTTGCTGCAGGAGGGACAGGTGCACTTCACAAAATAGATGGCATCATGAGGAAGGAAAATTATGTGGATATATTGAAGCAACATCTCAAGACGTTAAAGCTTGGTCACAAATGGGTCTTCCAAATGGACAATGACCCCAAGCATACTTCCAAAGTTGTGGCAAAATGGCTTAGGGACAACAAAGTCAAGGTATTGGAGTGGCCATCACAAAGCCCTGACCTCAATCCTATAGAAAATGTGTGGGCAGAACTGAAAACATGTGATTCATTCATGATTTTCGGTAATCAAGTGTTCAGAAACATATTATATTCTTATTTACAATAAAATACTACAAAATGACACAATACATTATTTACCATTAATTTATATTCGGCACAACATAATCTTAAACACAACAAAAACAAAATCCAAATGCATCCAACAAGTTTGTAGAGTCACAAGCTGGATGTAGTCATTGCGTGCTAGGAATATGGGACCAAATCCTAAAGTTTGACTACTTTAATACACATAAGTGAATTTGCCCAAATACTTCTGACACTTTAAAATGGGAGGACTAGATGCATAAAGTGCTTTCATTTCTAAACGGTAAAACAGATATGTATGAAAATACCCTCAAATAAAAGGTGACATTCTGTACTGTTGCCTGATATGAAAAATATGATCTCACATCCAAAATGCTGAAGTATAGAGCCAAATTAAACGTTTTAGCTTCACTGTCCAAATAAATACATAGGAGAGTGAGTGTATGTGTACTCAAAAACAGCATTAGAACATAACCTACAACTTTCCTACCCACATCTAGTTAATTTATTCTGTGACATTAATAACCTATTATTTTTCATTTTCACATTAGATTTCAGATGTACTGATTATTTGGGTGTTAACCACTCCTTTGTTATTACCAAATTTGAATAGAGGCAGCACCACATACAAGAACGCTAAGAATGCATACCTTGAGAAGGCTTGAGAGATCGTCATCCTTGTGCTTCTGTAACTGTGACAAATTGGAAAATCTATGTTATTTGGCAGATTCCTATATTGAAAGTATAACATGTAGTAGAGCATAGTAAATGTAGGATATTCAACTGGTTGCCTCACCATCCAGTTAAAGCAACTGACAAGAACCTAAAATAGGCCTACTGCTGCTTAGTCTTGAACATTAGCCTACTTTGTTTAATTGCGACATTGCGGTACTTTAATATAAACACAGAAAAGGCACAATTTCAGGCAATAACAAAATCCATTACTCTACCCTTTTCTTGAAATATGTCCTCCACTTGTGATACTCTCGAATTACAATTTCAATTCTTCTTTTCCAATATTTACCCTCTGTGGCTATTGCCTATGGAAGATAGAGGGGGAGGGAGAAAAGAACATGAGGAGAGGTTGACAGGAAAGTGGAGTGAGTGGTAAGGAGGGGTGAGAGCCATGGGTTGGAGTGGAACAGATGAGAGGAAAAATCATATGATTGATAATGAAGAGGTAATGCAAAGGAGCTAAAACGATACGTATGGGATCAAAAAGGAGCTAAAACGATACGTATGGGATAAAAAAGTGATCAAAAAGAAGAGTTTGGTTATTAGGGTGAAGCAGCTGTATGGTAGTGTTGCCTATCTAATCTGAAATCCACTACCCTTCCTTACCTCTGCCGGACGATGGTCCTCCATGTCCATGGTACCATCCAGAGGAGTAACAAAATGGCAGACAGGGTTCTCTCTCTTTTCCACATCTGTAGAGTAGAACACATGCAAGAGCTACCATATGAGCGAAAATAACACACCAAATAACACACCCTCTATACCAGGGGTGTCAAACGTCCGGCCCACGGGCCGGATCAGGCCCGCAAACGGGTTTAATCCGGCCCGCGAGATGATTTTTAAAGAAACAAAAAAAAAAAAATAATATATCATAATTTTGTAAAGTATAAAAATGCGCTGCAATTTTTCAATAAAATAAACTGCTGTTCCAATTGCGTCCACTGGATGGCGCAATAGCAATTGTGTTAAGCAAGCAAACTGTTTATACCGGGGCAGAGCAAGTAGGTCAAGCACGTGCAGCCAATGAGCTACTTTGTTTTGCCCGCGATATTTATTACGGCTTCTACTTTTAACATTATGTGCTTTGGCACCCTCATTGCCCCAATATGTCTCTGTCAAAAAAGAGAAAAGTGGACGCAGAGTGCAGAGTGTTCCAAGAAAAATGGTCATCCTATTTATTCACGGAATTGAATGGGAAAGCTGTATGTTTGGTGTGTTCAGAGCATGTTGCAGTGCTGAAAGAATATAACCTTCGTCGCCACTATGTGAGTCTTCATGCCGACAAATATGACAACTTTCAAGGACAGCGGAGATGAGAGAAGGTGAATGAACTGTTGGCGGGTCTGAAGAAACAGCAGTCTGTGTTTACTCACAGCCGAGACATCAGTGACGCTGCAGTGAAAGCTAGCTACCTCATTGCTAATGAAATCGCAGTGGCTTCAAAACCATTTAGTGAGGGTGAATTTGTAAAAACATGCATGATGAAGGCAGCGGAGATTGTGTGCCCTGAAAAGCGGCAGGCTTTTGCAAATATCAGCCTGACAAGAAACACAGTTGCAGACAGGATTTCCAATCTTTCAGTGGATTGGGAAAGCCAGTTGAAGCAAAAAGGTAAAGTCATTTATTGCGTTTTCGGTTGCAATTGATGAAAGCACGGACATTACAGATGTTGCACAACTGGCCATTTTCATCCGCGGAGTTGATGACACATTGACCGTCACCGAGGAGTTCGTGGAGTTGGTGCCGATGACAGATACAACGACAGCAGCTGATATTTTTACCGCACTCGTCGGCGCGCTGGACAGGGTCGGAGTGGACTGGTCCCGCGCTGTCAGCCTGGCTACAGATGGTGCGCCCTCAATGATCGGGAAAAAAGCAGGCGTTGTGACAAAGTTCAGAGAGAAAGTGCAATCTGCAAATGGAGGACGTGATTTTTTGACTTTTCACTGTATTTTGCACCAGGAGGCTTTGTGTTGCAAGTCATTAAAGATGGATAACGTCATGAAGGTGGTCATCCAAACTGTTAATTTAATCCGATCCAGAAGCCTGAATCACCGTCAGTTTGACAGCCTTCTCAGAGAGAAAGACCACATCTATGGCCTGCAATACCACACTGAGGTAAGATGGTTAAGCCGAGGTGCTGTGCTGAGGCGTTTCTTTGATTTACGAGAAGAAATTGAACAGTTCATGGAAGAAAAGGGCAAACCAGTGTTAGAATTTCATTCCGCAGAATGGATGCAGGACCTTGCATTTATGGTGGATGTTACAGAGCACCTGAATAACTTGAACAAACAGCTGCAAGGGCGCAACAAAGTTGCCACGCAGTATTATGACAGCATATGTTCTTTCAAGTTGAAGCTGTCATTGTGGGAGACGCAACTTGCCGGTGGTGATGCAGCTCACTTCCCCTGTCTGAAAAATGTGTGCGCGACCCAACATGTGGCAGACATGAAGCGGTTCAAAGATAAAATAACGGG